GCACCAGTCCTCCAAACTTCATAGCGAGCAGTGGCGGACCGAGAGGGGGGGGCGCGCCCCCCCCCCCCCGACAATGGGTCGCGAAATTTTTGAATCTTACCTATATGGGTTGTAAAAATGTGCAAACGACTTGTTTGCACTCGAAAATAATTAAAATAATTTTTAAAATTTTTTAAAAATTCATTTTAGCCTTATAAAAAATTTTTTTTCGGGGGCGTGGCGTCAGCCACGCCCCTTTTTTCAGACTTCAGGGGTCGGGGACCCGCAAAAATTTTAAGCACCCAAAAAATTTTTTCGGAGTGCGTGGCTAACGCCACGCACCTTCTTTAGAAAAAAATTTTTGTCGCGCCCCCCCCCGAAAAAAAATTTCTCGGACCGCCACTGATAGCGAGTTATAACATTACAGCACTGCGAGACAAACCGAGAGTCAAGAAAGATTCAGAGATCATGCCGCGAAAGTTTCGCTGTGATAAATTACCTTTTATGCAATTAACACGAATTTTTTTAGAAACGGAAAATTACGCAAGACTCATTATAAACAGAGCTTAGGCTGCATCCAGACTTGCAGCCTCACGCCAACGCCACCGGCGCCAAATAGCGCCGTGCTAGCGCCGTGCTGGCATGTAGATCGATCAAGATAGGGGACGTCCACATGGATGTCGGCGCTAGCACTGCTTTTCTTGTACCATGAATTTGGAAAAAGGTATGGTTGCAATTGTTAATATTCATAGAGAGGCGCATTTTGAGTTTGTTTATAAAAAATCTTGCTGCTCGCGTAAAACTCGGAAGAGCATGCTCCATCCATATCAACATTGACTGCAATTATACCGGGTGGGGCAAAAGTCTGGAAACCTCGCACTTTTTCAGATAAAATCAGAAGGAAAGCACCCAAAAAAATCCAGTGCACACATAAATCAAACCTTTACAAATACAACACTACTCTCAGATTTTAAGATTGCCTCTTCTGGCTTCAAAGCAGCCCTTCGCAATCTTGGCGAGTCCGCCTGTCATGGCACGCAGACAGTCTTGATGAAATTCGTCCTACGCCTTCACGATAACTGTTTCTTTCACCAGGCAAATATATAGTATGATAGAGCAAGCTTTTGGCTACAATGTACTGCGAAGAAAATTTTTTGCAATGTTTAGGAAGAAAATTTTGGAATTTCTAGCGAAGGCAAGTGTACTCGCATACTGAAAATCTGGATGCGATTGCGCGAACGGGAGCCAAAAATCAACCTGAAAAGTATGGAAATTGCTCAATCGATCGAATTCAAGTAGATGATTGCATATAAGACTCATGGAGAAGATATAGCCTGACATTCAGTGTCTGCTGCGCTCCTATAGCTTTCAAATTTATTTCGAAGACAAATGGCCATTGGCAGCAGATGGTATTCGCAAATTTTTACTTTGCGTTTTAGAAAGAATAGTTTCTGATAAACGCAACTACTACGAATTGATAGCGCAAAGCATCCTCTACATTGTTTGATTGAACTGCTCTAGAATATCCACTGTATCTTTAGCTACGAAATAAGTTGTGAAGACCAAAAATTTCGATTTTCTCGCTTTGCAGAAGCATTTGTGTGATAAATCCAAATTCCTACAAAAGTATATGGCAAGCATTTCTAGCCAGTTAAAGTGTGATTTATAGAGGATGATCGCAGCAATATGCGGCAGAAACTTGGAATCAAAATTATCAGTAGTTTCTTGATTTACAGCACTGCAAACTCGGCTCCCAGACTTTTGTCCCACTCTGTAAAATTGGCTTTTGTGGTATACAACCATTCGTCTACATTGAATTTGGACAATGCCATTGCAAAGAAGGTGTCGAAGTGGTTTGTCATCCATAGTTTATACCATTTGTGGGGTATTCTGCCCTGCAGCATCATAGCTCATATTTACCGTTGTGAAAAGTTTTATTGAGGTAAGTCAGATCCTTACTCGTCCCACGTATATTAATCGAATTCTCAATCATCCAAAAACTCAATAAATAAAACTCACTAAAATAGCTAATTTTTTTCTAGCAGTGATAGTTTTTTAGCATACTGAACCTATATCAAAAGTTAATTTTTTTCGACACGTCAAACTTTACCAGCTCAGACAAGTATTTACATAGCTATCATACGCACATCCAGATGTGGCAAAAATACTGCTCAAAAGTCTCTGGCTATACATTCAAGGAAAGCAAGAGTTCTGCCGCAGAAAGCCCTGGAGAAATTGCTAGCAGGAAAGAACCAGAGTATCCTTTTTGGAAAATAGAACTGGATGCTTCTAAACTCTGCGTTGGTGAGCTATCCGTTCACTACCCAAGGTGAAGAAATGTACCTTTTGAGAAAATGGTGTGAGCAATGTGCCCTATCTCGCTTTGTGAGGATTAGATTATTATCGCGATAGTAAAGCTTCAGAGGAATTGTGCATGATGAGTTTCCAGCTAAAAACAGGGAACAGAGTGTGATCGGTGAGGGCTTCAAATGAGATGAATAAAATAACAGAAGCCCAAAGTTCAAGTGTCAATAAGCTCATAAAAAAGTTCTAAAAAATAAGGGAAGGATGACCGAAGACCGTGGCCATTCGTGGTGAGACGTAAGTTAATAGATAGCCTTGAAATGCTGATTTTCTCGCTATTCGCTAGAAGTTCTCCAAAATTTCATGCGTTACTACAAGAGAAATGAACATTGTTGATTGACTGAGATTGTAGGTTTTGATAGAAATGGATACTTCTCACAAAAATCAGAGCAAGACTTTAGAGTGAACTTGCGATACTGCGTTCATAGCTAGTCAGTTCAAAAAGCAATACAACGAATTTTGACCATTCTTGAGCTTAGTAGATTGAAAGAAAATCATGACTGACTTCAAAAATTTAGCAGATAACGAGCACAGAAATGCATCAGCGTCTCAAGGCGTATCTACTGGTGTGTATCTCATCACAAATGGCCACGGCCACCAGTATCCTTCCCTTGTAGTCACTCAAGTCAAAGGCAAAAATATTAATTAAAATAATGGATATTTTAACAACTCAACCTCAGCATGATTTGCAGGTCAAGAAAAGCACTTTGTTCGGCCGTACTACTTACTATGACTACTTCAAATCTTTGAAATGCTGAATAAATCGACTAGATAAGCTAAAATTTGTTACGATGGTTTAATATTTTTGAGCATACAGAAAACTTTCCCCTTCATAGTTTTCTCGGCCATTCTTGAAAGATTGCACACCAGTTGATTTTGATATGCGAGTTGAGCATGAACCCGAAAATACAAAAGTTCAGAAAGACCCAAATTACTGTTAGTAGAGTCCAAGTATGCCATCTGTAGGACTCAGAGCTGAAGAACATAGTCACTATGAGTAAAAATTTATTGATGACTAGACGTTAATCTCTACATAATGTACCCTAGTGGATACAAATTCATGGGTTTAGCAAGAGCCTAATCGAAATTCATTGTGTAAACGGCAGATATGTCATCACAAATAGTGACGGCGACCGTACGAAACCCTGAAATATCTTAGAATAAGAGATTCAAGAGGAAAACTCCTCATGCAATCAGTGAGTATGAAATGATTGATATGGTCTCGGGTACACTTCACGCAAATCCAGTCGCCACGCTAATCACTCGAGCTGCTTGTAACTCATCGTAGGCACTTTTCAATTCTACATAGGATACGTTATGTTGATGATTTACGAGATGTACGGAATGCGCATTTGCGGTGTTTTCTGCGAATGCTGGATGTGAAGATATCTGACAAATGCCAGGTTGCATTGCGACTGTAGCGAGGTGTGCCCGGGACCTAACGCAGACAGAATGAAAGACGATACAGTAGTGGTTTTTAAAAAGATCCTATTAGTAAATTTTCCACTAAGGGTACAATACTCGTTGTACGTGGCCTTTGAGATGAGATGTATAACATTACACTCTTGGAACGCTGATTCCGAACCTGACTTCACCTGACTTTGCATCGGTCATACATCAAGCATTTCCTCAAGTGGCGGTGGCCGCGCGAGTTGGCAAGTTGCCAGGTATCTAAATATTCGCCGCCCTCTCCTCCAAATGTCCTAGGCGCCTAGCAATCATAGCTGACGCAAACATGTCAAGTTTGCTTACACAAAGTACCAAAATACTATAAAGAATTGTAACCAAAAGAATCGTGCAGCGACCGAATTCGCTAGAGATATGACCTATGCATAAGAGACAGGATCAGGTGTTGAAAAAAGTACTAGTCTGGATCCAAAGAAGAGATCCGAAGGGGTGGGCCCTTCTCGACAAAGTTTGAGAAATTTATCATATGGAGAAGAGGATTAGCAGCAATGAATACAACGTTTATTCATCTTTTTATGGATGAGCCGCTACAAACAACCTAGCTGTTGAACCGTTGAGCAGCAGAAGCGATGGTTATATGAATGGGATTGTGAGAGGGTCATGTGGATGCGAGAATGCAAAATGAAGCCAGAAGTTTATCCAATGAGTGATAGTACAAAAGTCTTAAGGATCGGCTCCAATACTGACCTCGCTGCACCGAAATCTGCTCCTTCGGAAGGGTGTTTAGAAGGATACATGTATGTGGAATATGTTCAAGCAATCTATTTTGGATCATATGTAAAGCTAAAACCCTCGCGTCTTTTGTAGCTCGATTATCTCAATTGCACTGTCCTCGTTGTTAGGCACATCCGCCTCGCGCACTGTTCGCGGGCATTTGGTAATCAAAAACCCGCCTCCAAACGGAAACCAGCGCGCAAGACCCTTTCGCTGCCTCACACAAAAAGGGCAACGCAATTGAGGCAGACAGTAAATGTTACATTGCGCTTGAATTGATCATGAAAGTTTTGATCTTCAGACACTCTAAAAAAACCACTTTATGCGTCATTTTTGAGCAGAAGATGCACAACTTTTTCAACGCAACGACCGCAACTCTCTATGAACAGCTATGAGCCTGAAATTTTTTTTGTGTACGTACAAATTTATTGCGAAAGATGTTGAAAAGTGGTCCGCTGATTTTAAAAAAATCTCACATCTTTTCGCAAGTAATGTAGGTGTGTCTCCTTTGACTGATATGTTCACGACATTTGGTCGGCTTAGATTCACAGCTCGATGCACGAAAAGCGGTCGATTTGCCGGAGGAAGCGACGGTCGAACACCCACTACCGTGTGTACTGGAGGGCGCTGCAAAATCACGTTGTTCGAAAAAAAGCGATTGCCTTGACTGTTTTAGTCACCTCTTGCAGCGGCTTACGTTGTTGTTCCGAAAAGGAATCATTTTCGAGAGGCTCCACTATTTTTCCCAAATGACGTTCATCTCTTTCTTTGCGAAATCTTGTCAATAGTCGCTGCATTTCCGTCACTCCAGTGTCATCTGAATATTATTTTTGAATTAAAGAATGGATTTCGGATAACATACCCATGTTGCGAGGGATTACTGGTGGTGATGAAAACGGCGGCAGCGACGGGGAACGTACTTCTGGAGTGCGACCTCTGAGGATGTATTCGTGATCAGCGTCAATCGATTCCTGATGCTGCAACATCTACAGCTCACTTGTTCATGTACAGAAATAACATTTCATCCTTTCACTACTTTCAGACATAATTTTCATCTGTGCCAACTGCTTACTCATACCGAATGAAGGCTATTGCCGGACGAAGGCGCAAAACAGTACTAACTGAGCGGGTGCGAACGCGGCGAGCGCGTATCTTCACCCTAGCATACCCTGCGCCTCATACCCTCTCCCGCCAATAAAACCGCGTTCGCGCTTCAAGTTTTGCGCCTTCGTAAGGCAGTAGCCTATAGGAAAAGCGAGCCTGCCCGCGAGGGTCCTGCTTGACCTACAGTCGATGAAGCCAATTTGAATTGGCACGCGAAGATGCCGCGATTTTAACGTCGCGATTGCGTGGATGGAGAAGGGGGTATGCGACTAGCACAGATTGTTTCTTTTGCGTTCGTATCTTGCACAAAGAGAATACTCCATGCTCGTGACATTTCGACATATCAAAATCAAAACCTCATCTCGGAATTCTGATCTCAAATCCGTCTTCGCAATTTGCGAAACGTTTCTGTTAAAGAGGTTATCAGAGGGTTCTCCTGTTTGAAATCAAGGTCATGTCAAAATACGGGGAGCGATGACCGCCAAGTCTTCATTTTGTCAATTGAATACGTTTTTGCGTGATAAGCATGTCAAAGACCGCTACACAGTTTCTTGATCGGCGATTCGAGATTTCGGCCAGCGGATACACAGTCTAAAAGGGGATGTTTAGATAACCAGACTTTTTTCTGCCTTCTCACCAAAAGCTGTAGACCACGTGCACCATTTTTGAGGATGCTTGAGTTTTTGGTAAGTACTGCTATACGGGTCATCAGCGTAAAAGTAGAATAAAGATGAGGAGAAAATCTACAAAGAGAATAGCAAATTTCTGGGGTGCCTAAATAACTACTTCATGGAGATTCGAACCTCGTGTACTTCCATTCCACTACCTGTAGCCGAGATGCTTGACTAGGACTGCGTAATTAGAAAACACTCGAATATTACGTTTTAATGCAAATTCCCTCGCAGCAAGTGATATTTGTAGCTTAGCAGTCGTTCTTTTCCGCATCCTTAACAGCTTAGCAAAATACAACATTAGCTTACATATATTATTGCAAGAAAAGTGACGCTGTGAGACACTGCACTTACTTTGACTAGGTGGCATACCCAGCTCCGCCTTTCCCTGTCAAAACACTATGTTAAAGGTTGATATCCCTATTCCTGTACAAATCTTTCCCTGTGCCCACTTCTACTTGCCAGTACCATCGCCATTTTGTTTTCGTAATCAGCATGCCACTCCACTTACCCCTGTGACAGCCCCTAGGTCAAGCTCTGCAAAAAAATCGATAAAACCGATAAAAGTAACCGATAATTCCATAGATGATGTTGTTTTCGTGATCGGATACTCAGTTACCCTCTGTACCGACTCCCAGCCCCGTAACTCAAATTTTGCAAATAATCGATTGAAACCGATAAAATCGTTTTCGATCGATGACGAAAAGTAGCCTATGGTGTATGTGTGCCAAGTTCAGTCCGGATAGGTTCAAAAATAAAAATTTCTATTCGGAACATACGTACAGGGAGGGACCGGCACACCTTGGCTTGGAGCATTTCCGGGAACGAAGTTTCTCATGAATTGGCAAAATTTTACGAATTCTTCGACATCAGAATCAGTAGGGAAACCCTTAATCAATCAAAAAAGAACAAAGCATATTTTGAAGTATTTAATATAACAAAAAAGCAAAAAAACATTTTAAGTCGATTACAGGCTCCTTTATTGAGTATGGTAGCGATTTAGTGCTCACTAGGTAATGGTCAAATCTAACTCAGTCACTCCAAACAAACTGTATATCACCGACTCGACTTGAAACACTGATTCCAAATATATTTTACTATCTGCCAAGCAACTATCTGGAAAGAGTCATGAGCATTTGAATGGTGCATTTGCAAACTATTCTATAACGCATATCCCACGAAAAACGTTTTAAAACACTTATTCAGGTCTTTGGTAAAAGTGCGTCTTTCGTGTAGTCGAAATAATGATAACAGTATCATCACGCGTCCTCAGAATGCCTTCTACGGAACTTTATTCGCTGGAAGTTGAACAAGTTCTCACACTTGAACGCTCATAACTCCTTTGAGATAGTTGCTTGGCAGATAATAAGCATATATTTGAAATCAGCGTTTCAAGGCGACCGATGATATAGAGCTTGTTTAGAATGGCTGGCTTAAGTTCTGACCCCCGTCCAGTATATCACAAACCTCCTAGACCAATCAAATCTGTAGCCTCAACAATTTGTCGATGCATTTTTCGTCTCACACTTCAAAGCACGCCGAGCGTAATCGGAGCGCGTTATCTATCAGTGATTGGGTTTACGCAATTTTCGATAAAAAAAAGAGGACAGGCAATGCTTTGATTCGCTATGTTCACTATATGATATATTTTGGAGCATTCTAATCGTCCAAATCATAAAGCTCCAATACTTAGGTGAACTCTCCGATATTTATGCTCCGAACCACAGTTGTTTGGTTTGGTCTAGAAACCAACAAATTCGGGAACGGGTTTTAGGACACATAAGTTTTTGGAACTTTTTACATAGTGTTGCTGTTGATATTGTTACATATAGCCCAAATTCCGTGCCATGTGATTTGTTTGTGCGGTGCAAAGAAGCCATTTGTTTGTTTGGTTCTTACGTTTGAAATTCGCGCGCTGCGAGAGAACGCGGTGTCTCAAAATTTTTTGAAAGTTACTTAGATGATGTGTTATAAAATGTGCGACTTATTTCTACTTGTAAGTAATTGAAATAATTTTTAGAGCCTTTCAAAAATTCAAATTAGCCTCGTGAAAAAAATTTTTAGGGGCGTGTTTCGGAGTGCGTGGCTAACGTCACGCGCCTTCATCCGAAAAAATTCTTGTCGCCCCCCTCCCCCGAACAGAAATCCTGGGTACGCCACCGGTTATGCCTGTGAATGGCATTCATGGTGACCTTTTTCTTCGCATGAACACTAACAGCTTGACATGTGGACTCTCGCGCCAAATCCTCTTTTTAAGCGCATAGTTGCACATCTCATGTCAGATATCACACCAGCCTATGTCCTTATACACACTATCCTCAAACCTTTAGATCTGTAAAAAAATTTCTGGGCAGAGTTCTATGTGCATTTTGCACAATCTGAACTTTTACCAACCTGAGGAGGTCGTGGTTCCTCGGGTGGAGGACTAGCATCCATCGCGGGAGGAAGGTCATCAGTACGTATGAAAACGGTTGGCTTGGAGCTGACGTCGTCTGTGCTTCTAAATTAAAAGGCTTAGAGGTGAATAAACCATTGAAGCTACAAGTAATTCGCTACAAGCTACAAGCAATCCTGTTACTCACCTCTGTCGTGCCGAGTCTGGATCAGGCGGTGACATCATATCCAAAGAGCGAGCTGATGAGTGAGTTAGTGAGCTGATGCTAGGACGAGAGGTTTCATAGAAATCGTCTGTGACTATGCTCGCTTGACGGGTCAGATTCGGAACTTCCGCACGTCGACGTACGAATGGGACTGAAAATTTGAATAATGAAAATGCTACATTCTACAACCAAAAGATTAAATCTATTTCGAAGCGATTACTGAATCAAAACTGACGGTACTACAGATAGGATGCGCAATAGGGCCCACCAGTATGGTTGTTCATTGTAAGGGTGAGAACCACTAACAACGAAAGGTAACGAACTCGAAGTGGCGATCAACAGAAGATGCATATTATTACGAACTCGGAACACTGATTCCAAATGTGTCTTCTTATCTGCGCAGTCTTTCTGTGCAGGAACAGAAAAGCATTTTGAGGCTGGTCGCGGTTGCTTTGTGTGCGTAGCTTTCTGCATCCCTACGAACCATGGTATAATGCAGGGGCCAGGGCTCGGCACGAGGTGGCTAGATGAAAATGCAAAAAACGAAGTCCCCCTTGACTTTTGGGTATTTTTACGAAGTCCCCTTTGACCCCCCCCCCCCCCACCATATTCCCTAAAAATCCTCCAAAAAACGAAACGTCGACTAAAAAAAAAGGTCGCCGTCGCCAATTTTCCGTGTCTCTTCGGTCACAAAAACGAAACCCCCTTTGCTTTTCGTCCCAAAAACGATATCCAGCTTGCTTGTAAGCCACCTCGTGCCGAGCCCTGGCAGGGGCAAGTGTACGGTCTCTGAGGCAGGGTTCGATTCCGCTTAAAGGAGTTTTTTGCTTTGTTGTCTTCAAAACGATTTTTCGTATTACACTAACCATTTTCAGGATAACGAATAGATTCAGCAAGAAAACACAAGGATCAGTTCTGAAGGGTCTGTGATTAGAGTTACAGTGAATTTGTGACAGAAGTGATTATGCTAGGATAAAATGACTCAAACAAAAACTTTATACAGAGTGTAAAGGCTACATCAGAACAGCCTAGTCGCATTTTCTAATCAAATTTGGTGAGAGGCAGTACTAGATGTATCTCGACTGATAGCCATCTCATTCACTTCAATAACATCGTTTAAATTATGAAAAATCTTTTTGAAGGCTTATTCACTATTTTCAATCTATATGCGGTGCAATAGAATCCATTCGCAGCGGATTCGAATCTGACATGCTTCAGAGATGGCAACCTGCTACTGCGCTATGATTACACGGTTTTTCAGAATGCAAAACCCTATGCAAACGAAGTTGTCGTGACAAGCCCGAAAAACGCTTATGACTTTTTTCTCATAAGGGCAGCTTTTCAAGCTCTTAGTAATCCATGACAATTGGTCACTTCAAGTTCGTGACCCTTCCTTTTGAGACAGATACTGTGAAGTTTAGCAATCCAAATTACGATTTGCTGCCATTGTACTAACTGGCCAAACTAGAGTTTCCCGAGATTTTGAAGCTTCACTATATTGCCTAACTACGAATGAACTACCTTTTCGACTGCTGTGAGAAAATTCTGGAAGTGGCTTTGCGCCCTTCTCTACCCTAAGAGTAGGCCCACGCTCTCGCGAAGGACTGCGGATTTGCTCGAAATCTTCCCAGTTAGCAGAGTTCTTCCGTATACGGCGGCCAATCCTCACAAACTCAGGTTCTTCAGTCTTATCGTGCCTTTTGATGACAGTAGCCTGGTTCAGTACCTGTAAAGGTTGTTTTCAATCCTGCGTGAAAGATTTTTCAGTCCTATTACCAACAAACCTCGAGCACACGGAATGGTTTCTGATAGTCGTGGTGTGTTAGGTCCATTTTCGGGGCTGACGCTGTCAGAGGTACGACAGGGGACATGTATCTCTCTGACCCAACTAACGGCAACATCCTATCCTTTTCCACTCCATCTTCTTCCGGTATAAAGATGTTGAAGGGACGGCTCAGGTCCGTTGTTGGTGAAGTTACAGACTTCCGGGAGGTTTCCACCATACGCAGTTCCAGCGGTGATGTAATGTCTCTTTTCATTGGCATAGCCGATGAACGATGTGAAAAATCTACACTTGTGGGAAGAGAACGACTCTCATAGGTGGAAATGGCAAGGTTCTGAAGATATTGACGATAGTGCTTAGACAGAAACAGAAGAATATAATAACATAAAATTTTATTACCTTTACATGCCTCAAATTTTGAGACGGTCGTCGCTGAACATTGATTTCGAATTTCCTACGAAGAGCACTGATTGATTTCTGTAAAACAGTTCACGCACATAGAGCCTGTAGCTCTGGTGGGCAATAAAAATGACTAACATCAGGGAATTCTTCTGACTCAAGATTGATAGTTCTGTGTACCACGAATGTGCGATGATCATCGACCGCATCTAGGAGACACATATTAGTGGATCAAAGCTTCAGCAGTACTGAAACCTCTTTTAGTTACCAGTAGATAAATGATAAAATATAGGAAGATACGCGCAAAAATCGGCGTGATTTGGGCGGAGCTGAGAATTAGAAAAAATGAACAGTGATATACGCATTCGAAAAATCGTGACGATGGCGCGACTGCGGCGACAAGCATGCACTTCCAGCAACCGCAATTCCTTGGTTTCTATCTCTACGAATGGTTTTTCGCTTACATATGATAGTATTCAGACGATTGATTGAGCTGAGCGTTGATGTAGTGCCCTTTTGTACGGGTGCAAAGACCGCAGTCAAACCCGTCGTCACGATTTTAAGAATGATCTGTACAGTCTGTGTCAAATATGCGCTTCCTTTTGTATTGGAACCACACCTGCAACGGGAGAGCCTTGCGTGCGAATCCCGAATAGATGAGGCCAAACGCCTAAGCCATACGCGCGTGGACTTGGCGCAAAACTTGGCATGACGATTGCGCCGATGGAAAAAGGGAGAACGCGATTGACATAAGCTCTATGCTTACTTTCGACTCTGTGTTCATTATGTTTAGTTTTAACTGTTGGATACACTATCAAACAAAAGGATTGTCGCTGTAATCCTTTTCGAAAGTTCGATTATCCTACCTTCAGGTGTATATATAAGCCGCACCCTGTTTGCTCTAAGGACAAACACGCCAAAGACTGCTGTTACCATGGGGCGCGTTAAGTGAGAGCAATGTGCGAGAAAGCGACCGCTTTGCGAGACACTTGCGCAGCGGCACGCCTGAATCTGCTCGCGTTTAGAGCAAAAACGGTGCGGCTTACACAACTGAAAATAGGGTGTAGGGCGTTAGGCGACAAACCCGATTTTTTGGACCCCAAATAACTCCCCGTGCAAAACGTTTCCTCCGCCAAAAACAGGGGGGTGGGGGTCGGGGCCGATACATTACTCGACGCCATCAAAAAAATTGCACATGGTTTTAACTTACGGGCTCTACGTTGATGGCGTTTTGCACGTTTTGTCGCCTAACGCTTGCCCTCCCTGAAAATAGGGTACTGCCTTTTGCATGATCCTGCCAAAACTCTGGAAGTAACCGCGAGTTAAAGTCGCTATTTATCTCCATCCGTTTCTCTGCATCCTTTCTTCCTATCTCTCCAAACAACTAGCTTCTTTACTATTTTGCACATAAGCAGTCACATTCTGCTACTTTCTGTAAGCTTACCCAGCATATCACCCGTAGAATGCGATTGACGTTTCGAAAGAGGTGACAATGATGCCGATGACCGTCCGCTCATAGCCGTGTTAGTTCTTCGCAGACTAGAATATATCATCCAAAACATTGCATGAACTGAAACACGTGAAATACTAGACGTACAGCGGCTCTTCTTCAGCTGTGGAAAGGATGTCATCAACTGAAGGGCATCTTTTACCAGTTGCATGCGGAGAGACCTGAAAATACAGAATCCCTTCTCGCAAATGACTTCAAGTGGGCTTATCTAGGAAAACTAAGCTTGGACTATGTATATTTTTAGTCTGTGCAACTTCTTTATCTAAGCTGACTTGGCCAATGTAGGCAAGATATGAAGTCCTAAGTGTACTTGGAGGTTGCGAAGGTCTGGCATTTTGTTCATGCAGAGATTATCTAACGCTTCCGGCACTAATCAAAGGTCGGTAAAAATTTGGTCATTGTTAAAATTCAGATATTAGCTCATATCTTAATCGTCCACAAATGCAGTTTTTGCCATAATACCTCGAGGTAGGAAACACTCGCTTCGTTATAAAGGCAACATATCGATTTTATCCTGATAAGCAGAACTAAACTTCAATAAATTGGTAGCTTGCAGAAATTCTATTTGTTTAGACTCATTGTAAAAACGATCTCAGTCTACTCTGAATTTACATCTTTTTTATTCCGTTACGTTCTCAATGTAATCAACAGCAACGAAGCAAATGGGTTCGCATGAGATTTCACTTATTATACTTATTATATCACTGATTCCCCTAAAACCGATACACTCGAGTAGATTTTCCGCTTAATATAGTGTGCTTGCACTGTAGGCGAACTGCGGTAAAATTTTCGGGCGAAGAAGTAGCTACTCCTATGACGCCTTCCATTTGCGCTAGCAAAATGCCGGTATTATTGGCGTGGCTAACTTTCTACGCGCGATTTTTACCGCATTTCACCTACCGTTTCACCCACCCTATATCAAGCGAAAAATCTACTCAAATTTATTTTTCTCTTACCTTGGCATCACGGCTTGCAAGTCCAGACAAGCGATGGAATTTGGCTTTGAGCCTTTCTACGATACCAGGACCATATTCGAGTTCTGAAATTTGCACGATGTAAGATATCATACTCACCATGATCGCAACCCTTCACGCTTGAATCTCAACAATTTCACAGTATGACGTCACAGTTTCACACCTCGTGCGAATGCACTAATCGCAGTCGACAGATCTGGCAATTCGCCAGATGTCTACAATTCCTTGAAGAAGCGCCTTTCTCGCAGGATATTAAGATCATGCCAAGTCTTGTTTACAAAGTATGCTTACGAAGAATATGGACAATTTCAGCAATGAAAAACCGCTTTAGTGATGGGCGTCCTTTCTTTCAACGAAGGCCTAAGTCAATTTTCTGACACTTTCGTCCCCTCTTAACCCCTTGATGATTCGCAAAGTTCTTGAAAAGTGATGTAAACGAGCTCCAGGACTTTGCAAGTAACTTAGTTTTGTGAGTAAGTTTTATCAAAGGAGAATATAAAAAGGAAATGGAATAGCTGTTGCAATGGTTTTCAAGAATTCCCTCAATATTTATTGGCTTTTCAGTTTTAGTTACAATACCAAAAGCTTAGTGCAGGAAAACAATGAAGTAAAAAAATCCAGACTCATGTCTGCGGGTTGCCCCTTAAGTCTTCATATGTATGTTTCGCAGTAAACCATTTCTTCTTACACTCTCAATGGGGTTTGGGGTTACCTTTCGGAAGAGCGAGAAAGTCTACAGAATGTTGTTAAAGGTTTTACAGCAAGCTTGATCCGCAGACTTTCAATCCAAAATCGAAGAATTTCTATTAATCGAATCAGTGTAGCATGAAAAACTCAGAAAAAAACTATTTATATTTTGGGCTTTTCGAAATTACACCTATGTTTGTTTCTCGACTTCTAGCTATGGAAACACTGCAGCAAACTATGTTATCTAAGTCCAATGATCCGCAAAGTACCTAATGGTGAGAGCACATATGTGACCGTTGGAATTTGTAGAATTTTGGGCGGAGACTGAACTTAAGAGCAATTTAGTAATTTTGAATTTTGGCTTCAAACTTGAAATGGATCAAACCCTTCGCAATCTTTGACGGTCATCTTGTAATGCTTGCATTGCTCTATTAACAGTCACTGAAACTCTAATTTAAAGGTCAGAGGTAAGCAGATTCTGTCAATGTACAAAGACTCATGGAACACCCTAACACCTTTTAGAGTCATTCGAACGTTTCATCAAATTTCGCGGGAAAAAAACGAAATTATAAGAGCAGGTTATGTACATAATCTATCACCTTCTCCTCCTGCAAACCCAGATGTATAACTTCGCAGAAGTGTATGAGTATGCGCCTTTTCCTTATCTCTAACAAAAGTACTGCGCAAGCGGTTCATAATTATGATTGTGAAGCGATGAAACGCGGACCAACCCACTAATTTAGAGATATCTACCACACTTCCTCTCTTACAAACGCCAAAGCGCACATATGACAAACGAAATGATCATAGGATACCGGCCATATCACCCATGTTGCCGAAAGGAGAGATCCGGCACGGGCATTGGCAACAAACCGCGCATCTCTACACACTATAAGCTTGTGCCATCGGCAACGTATCGTTCTCTACCCTAGGCGTTACCACAACGACTCTGCGTCTTAGGAAAGGATATTCGGTGACCCGGCATTTGGTATGCGATGTATACCATAAGGTGCACCTTAAAGCGCTGATTCTAAAACTGTGTTCGAAATCTGCGAAACGATCACTATTAAGGAGAATCTTGGAAGGTGTACGTTGTATTGATACCTATCTTAACACACTGACGACCATGCAGATTTTTAGTTGTCTGGCTTCTGGGACCTTTAGGGGCCAGCCCACATTTTTCAATTATATTTACGCATGCTGCCATCTACAGCACACCTATAGTAAATCTGAAAGACTGATGAAAAAGGTAGAGGTCATCCCTAGATTCAGTGCAAAAGAAAGCTCATGGAGTGAGTCTATACCAGGATAGTAGTCGTTTTACAAAATTCAAGCCTTTCATTGCTTGACACAGATGTATGTCAAGCGGTCGTCAATGTGTTAATCATATTCAGCATTTGAAGAGAAAAGAAAATTTTTTATCAATGATTTTTACCCTCCGCAGTAGGGCAAATCATTCTTGAAAAAAATAATTGTAACTCCATCCATGTTCTCGTTTCGCAGATATGGAAAACAGTATTCGAACCAGCATTGAAAGGCGCATTTATTCGTACACAAACCATTATGAATGGCTGGGGTCAACAAGTATCGTTCCCCGCTTAGACCTTGGTGGTATCTGCCTTAGGGCCGCATGCACTAAGCTTCCCGCTAGGGAGGGAATCGCAGCTTAAAATAAAGCTTTATATTTCGAAACTTCAGATACCTGGATTTCACGCTGTGTACCTATCCATAGGTATGCCTACTACCCTTCACTATGAACATGGTGAACAGGAGCGAGAAGCTGTACGAAATGCATTTTCCAGCTTTTATATGATCTCTGATGTTCCCCGGCGCTTTTCTTTAAAGTCATTTTTCTTTCTCCAAAGTTGACGAAAACCTTCCAAAGTTGTACTGAACATCTAACGCAACAGTGCTAAGCATGTTGCTGATGAGAACAAATGAGTTTTTGAAAAGTCGAATTTTTCGGTAAACCTCAAATTTCGACCTGTGGATCATCGAAAATTTCATGACTTCAAAACATCATTTGTTCTTATCAGCAACATGCTTAGCACTGTCGGGTTAGATAATCTGCATAACTTTGGAGGGTTTTCGATAACTTCGGAGAAAGAAAAATGACTTTAAAGAAAAGCGCCGGGGATCATCCAAAAGCTGGAAAATGCGGTTCGTACAGCTTCTCGCTCCTGTTCAACATGTTCATAGTGAAGGGTAGTAGGAATACCTACGGATAGGTACACAGCGTGAAATCCAGGCATCTGGAGTATCGAAATATGAAGCTTTCTTTTGAGCTGCGATCCCCTCCCCGCGGCAATGTTAGTGCATGCGGCCCTTAGAAAGCCCTTGCCCTTCTTCACAACGTCTAAGAGCAGGTTTCAAGATCAGAGTGATGGAAGAGCCCAGGTAAGCAAAATCGTTAGTTTTACCCAAACTAATATGAATGCTACGGCCACTTATGGCGAAGCGGATCACAAAAAGCTAAGGCAGGAGGAGCCGCGCGAGGAGCGACAGATTCTAGGTTCTTAGCTGTAGCGAATGTTCAGATAAAATTAGTGTTTTAAATATTCAGCTACAATCGAAATTCTCATAGGAGAGCCGGTAGCGACGCTTAAAAGATTCTTTTTTGATACTCATGCAGTCAATGGCCGAATGATATTGATTTCTGTAGAATTTTTGCAGTACACCATTATGTATTCCCTTTCCCTTCGTAGCTATTAACATAGGAGTGGTTAGAAGCATTTACGCCCAATTCAGAAACTGTACACCATCGTAATCGCCTTAAAACGTTGATCTGAAGTATATGGTCGTTATTAAGAGATTATCTGGAATGAGTTGTGAACGCTTTAATATGGGAATTTATACAGGGTGTCCCAAAGTAAGTACACACTATTCAATCGTTAATATCTCTCTTCTTGGGTGTTTTTCCGCCATTCAAGTTCCATTCTGTAGAGAGGCTTCAACTTACAAGGGAAGTACTATCAATGGCCGTGGTCTTTTGATATGAGATAAATATCATCTAAAGCAGCTTCGAACGCTGATTTTATATCTGCTTTCCGTTTCTGCGGAACGCTCTTCTGAAGAGAGTTATGGGAGCCTGACCATTCTACTTTGGGGGCGCTCCTTGAGTTTGAGGGCGCTGCTATGTGCATTGTGGTGCAGTAATGTAGTGATTAGTTGCTGACGTTGAAGGCGAGAGGTTGATGGTTCGAATCCTGTGGAGAGCGAACTAGTTTGCTTATTGAATGTGAGTTTGAAAGCACTTTAAATCGCCTGCAGACACTTACTGTAATGCCTTTGGCATAAGTGACCTAGAAAAAGAATTTTCTGGCAAAATTGCTTGTTATGAGAGTCTGTAATTCTATTTGACTTACCTACTAGTGAAACAGGACCAAACATGGCCTAGCACGTTTGTCACCACATAAAGCTCAAAAGATGCACACTTTCATTAGTCGAAAAGATGTTCTCTCCTGTTTGTGCTAAGGCATTACAGTAAGTGTGTGCAGACTTCGAGTGCTTTTGAACTCACAATCAGAATGCGAAATGGCTCGCTCTCCACCGGATTTGAACCATCAACCTCTCGCCTTCATTGTCAGCAAGTAATCATTACATTGCACCACCAACGCACATAGCAGCGCCCTCAAACTCAAGGAGCGCCCCAAAATAAGATGTTTAGGCTTCTATAACTTTCTTCAGAAGAGCGTTCCGCAGAAATGGAAAGCAGATTTGAAATCAGCGTTCGAAGCTGCTTCAGACGATATTTATCTCATACCAAACAGCCACGGCCATTGAAAGTACTTCCCTATTTAGATATATACAGTATTAAACGAATCAGCGATCACTCTTCATTACTGTAGGATTACTGTCTGTTGGGACGTCGACAAGGATTTTAGGCCATTGGAAGCCATATTCTGCCTTGGAACAAAACCAAACGAGCCGCATACCCTTGCGCTATGGTTGTGGAAACCGCTGATTTCGAATATGAAATTTCCACTTTACTGTGATGCTTCTTTTCAAAGTTATCCCAGCTAAACCGTAATAACCTAATTCTCAGTTGTCAGAAATGTGATTGCATTGTCAAAAAAGCTGAAAACGCTCGTGAGGAATTGTGTAATAGAATCAGCGTGCGCAAAAACCCTAATACACAACTTTTCAAATTGTTTGAAAAAAATTTTGTCAGATGGCATATTACTCAATGATCCCACATGCTTGAAGTTTTTACCGTAATCCCACAGTAACGAAGGGCGATCGATGATTCAATCAATACTGTAAATCTGAGTTGAGGCCTCCTCTACCAGATGGTACTTGACTGGCAAAAAAAGACCCATTGGTAAGAGAGATATTGGCGATTGAAAAGTGTGTACTTACTGGGACACCCCGTATAAGTCCTTATAAATGAAGCTCATATAGAGATAGTCTGCAGGGGCGTAATTAATTATTATGATTATTTTGATTTCAAGGAAAAGCGCACCCATTGAAGACTCAAGCAAGTGCTTTAAAACGTTTTCCGTAAATCGGATGTTACAGGATATTTGATACATCCGCGCATTCAAATGGTCATCTTTACTTTGAAAACATTGTTCAAGGCGAATGCTACGATACACAATATGATTCGACTGGCCGGACCAAGTTCAGACCAATCGTAAGTATTTTATAAACATCAAGAGAGACAATAAAAAGTCTCTGCACTGGTGTTTCGACAGTTTTAGAAAGAAGCCAATTCTACAACTTAGTGTGCACCTTGTAAGGTTGCATACTCTGAGACTAAATTTGTAGCAAAACATATCATGGCTCCTTGCTTTCTCAGGAGTCGGTCTCACCAACAAAAAAGCGATATTTTTCAACGCCTCCTTTATGAAATACTTTGGTATTCGCAATTGGGATGAGGATCTTGTGATTGGCTGCATGACTGGACAAGACAGAGACTACTTTGTAGAAAATGCATGAGTGAACAAAGCTCATAGTCGGTTTGTTGTTCATCCATTTTTATGAATAGAGGGTTATAATATGTCGGCAAGCCATTACCTGATCCTGATCCCAAGGATGAGGTGTCATGATTGTCGTCCATAGCTCCTGCAGTCGAGCTTGATTTCCCCAAGTCTGAAGATTCTAGAGATCAATGTTGTGGTCAGATTAAGATTTGAGCGTGAGATTGAACTTTCTAACTAATGAAGGTGTTACAACTTGTATAGCACAGAGTAATGCACAATATCGGGAATTTCCAGCCCAAATTATACAAAAATTTTTAGGACAGACTCGCGCGGAAGCGCTCCCACGCTAGTAGAAATAGTGTCCGAACCTTTTTTCTGGTCCACGGGTCGCAGTGTCCGCAGTGCCGGTGGCGCACCGCTGAGGGTGGTGTTCGAAGATGGAACTGAAACGCAATTAGACAAACTAATTGATTAACAGAATAATGACGAATCTGCAGATAAGGCTGTGCTGGTATGGAACAATGACACATCTGAAATTTGTGGAATGGGTGATGACAATGACTGATAATGAAGATACTGATAGCCCGCTCCTGCCATAATACATTGATTTCAAAAGACAGCCTCTATCTTTTATTTTAACACGTATGCGTTCGAGTATAGCGCAATATCTGGTAAAACTATCCAACGGGTAAATCTTTCAGTCGCGGACGCTTTGACACTCTTTACTGCGGTAGCGTGAAGCTTGCTGTTTGTAAAATGATACTGAAACTATGGCAGGGCGTTGATGACACGCAGAAGTCATAAAAGAAAAGAAAAACCAGGTACTGCAGTTGACAGGAGTGACGTGACGTATAGCACGGTTTCGATTAGATAATAGTTTCGTACAAGGTTAGTGAAAAACCGAAATCGTAACAGTGACAGGTAGAGAAGCCTTATATCATTTACAACAACAAACAGCTTTTGAGTTTGGCTTACAATCGATAAATTTCGAGAGCAATTTGCACAAACTATATTTTTGTCGCTGAAAGAAAGAGGGTGGGGCGGAGGGAAAGAGGAGTAAGAATTTACGATGCAAGTGTGATATGATAGCATGTAACAAAGAGCAGCATTAAGCTACTCATTTGCTTCTGACAGTATTCATTTTCTTTGATACTTTCGCTGCGGAAGCCGAAGTACCTTGTCCCAGCTCTCACCTCAAAAGGCTGTAAAACCGCCAGGTACACATGGACAGAACAACATGGAGCCGCTCAAATTTTTTGAGGTTCCCTCTCAAAGCGAAAGAATGAGACCAATTTACCAATGTATTAGGTTGTATAGAAAGTTGCCGGACAGTTTTAGGAATTTCATTTTCATACTCGTTTTTTTCACACTCGGTTGGATTTTGACCGTATTCTTGTAATTTTTGCCGTAGAAAGCTTGAGCTTTCGATGACGCTTCTGATTTCTATCACTGCCAAACCGTATTTGAGCAATACACCAAAAGAAGAAATCTTTTCAACGGCGAAAATTTCACAATTTTTCTTCCTGTCGCAAATTTTCCAAGCTAAACAAGCAAAGTTGTCTGAACCTCAAACGATCCAGGTGAGGACCCTGTCGACTACAACTTCGCAGTTGTGCTCGAATCTTGATGAAAGCGCACAAAAATTACAAGGTGCCAAACTTGCCTAATGGAAAATCTTTTCGGGGCTGGCGTCATCTTGTAAGCATCGTTATGTGTGGATTACGGGCGCAAGAGATGTGCAAGACGTTGTACAAAATGTTTGTGGTACTCAGTAGTTGGTCTGTGCAGAAAGGAAAAAAATTCAAAGTCATTCACTCAAAAAATGAAGCACTTTCAAAATGCAAAAAAGCCTTTACTTAAGTTTGAAAAAAATTTGCAGACGCTTCGCTGCAGTCGTGATTTGCCTTACTAACGGCCCCGGATTTCTATTTGGTTGTTTAAGTCGTTTCACATTCGAAACTTCATAATGATTTTTCCTTAAAAAAAGGGCGCCTACTTGGCCGCAAATTTGTGGCAGCATTCCCGAGTGAATAGGCTACTTGAACACATATTTGCGAGGAACATAGAACCGCTACAGAAAAAGTTCAAATTACCTCATTATTTTATTCTCGAATTCTAGCCATCAGAAAATGCAGCAAGTGTATGTGTAGATATCTGTTGGGACGAGTATATGCTTGAGCTAGTGGGAAATTCGCAGAGTTGTTTTGAACTGAGATACGATCATTTTCGTTTTTTTTTTTCAGGAACTCGGAAATTTTTCCATTTTGGTTTGAAACCTGATGCAGATCGAAATTGGTGCTGACTCTTAAACGTTATTTTGTAGAGCTTGTTTTGATCTTTAGGTACCCCGCACTATAAGAAGTACAAGAAGAACTGACTTATGGCGGTGGAAATTCAGGTACGAAAAGATTTATGGAACAACTTAATCCATTGACGATGACGCCCAATTTTGCGTGGCGGCGCTATGGAGCGACGCGATTTTGCCACTTTCGATGTGGGAAGGTTCTATGGTTATTTTCGAAATGCAAGGCTGTTTTTTAAACAACTACGAACATTTTCTCTAACGACGAAGCTTACAGCGTCCTAAGAGTGCAAAAAATTATAAATAATATTATTAAGTGGAAAACATACTAGACCTATGTACTAATAATATGACTTTGCAAGAGGCGTGGGCCACCGGTGATCCACGTCGTCCCTGGCAGCAAAAGTGCATGGGCCACCGGTGGTCCACAGCGTCCCTGGGCAAAACTGCGTGGGCCATCCGTGGTCCACATCGTCGTCAGTGGGTCAATATATAGCTTCCTATAGCTATGCACAGACGATTTCTAAATCGACCTTTTCCCGTTCTGCGCATGCTGGTGGCCCGAAATGAAGTGCTGAAGACACAATAAAAAACTCATTTCTTGTAGACAACATGTTCTTTGCAGTAAAGTTAGCAGCTCTCGATAGGGGTCAATTTGCACGAAGTTACAGCCGTTTGGAAAATTTTTTTCGCAAGCGCAAGTTTCTTTACGATCCAGTAGTACAGCTGCGATATAAAGAAGAAATTTTCGAAATTTTTCAAAATTTATGATTACAAGTTTATAATCATTTTATATAATCAAGTAAACTGCCATTTACTGTAACAGTCCGGAGACATTGAACGCCTACGGGATATTTCGTGACTGAATTTCGAGAGTATAACAGTTTTTATAAGTGTGCCATGTACGTAATTTAGCTAGAACCTGAATGCGAATTACATCTGCAGGACTCAAACTATAACTATTAAAATTTGTACTAAAAAGTTATAAATCTGAAAATGACACAAAATTGCTCCAAAATACGAGGTAATTCAAATCTTTTCAAAACACATTTTTCGACCACTGGCTTGCTTCATCTTCCTAGCAGGATAACTAATCAGAAACTACGAAAGCATTCATTACAGCATAGGGAAGCAGACCATGATTGACACTGGCCAAGGAAATAAAAAACGCTTTTTGAATTTTTCGACTCCTACTCGCATAACCCATACAATTATGTCATAACCTTGTTGCGATTGCGGTGTGTGAAGCTAATTTAATTACTGGACACACGCAAGATAAGATATTGGCTGTAAAATGGAGCCCCCTATAGGCGTACAGAGCAACAAAGCAACCACTAAACGCTGGCAATTACACGCATACGCGTACGGGATCAGGAGTTTTTTTTCTCGTTATCAAGACATTGTGCAGAGAAAAATGACGAGTGCACTTTGAGCTGGTTCTCCCTCACTTACAAGTCGAAAAAAACTTGCATATGATTCATATGAGGAGTGTAAACAAGTCATGTACTTGTCATACACTTGATGGAATTGTAGAATTGCAACAGCCATTTTCCTAATGTGAAAGGAATTCAGAATACTTTTGTAATCGCGTAGATCACGAATGATCTCGGTTTTTTGAAGGCATTTGCTGTGACTAATATCGTATCAAAAATATCGCTGATTGTTATCGACCAAAAGCAAATAGTCGCTGCCAATGAGTTGCTATTGAGGATTTCTGATTTTTCTTTACAAAGATGACATCCATTTCTGTCCACTTTGCAATTTTTTCACCTTTGTTGTGAAACTATGGCCTGATAAAGCTCAGAAAAAATTCTCTACCTATGACTTAATTTAGGTAAGGAAGAATCTGTAATTCCTACATGAAATAATTGTGTTCGTGGAATTTTGTACGATTCCGGTGATGTTCATGAGTTGCAGCGAATTGCTTTATCAGTGAAGTTTTATCGCACCAAAGTGTTTACTCAAGCTGAACTTGGTGCATAAAAAGACTGCCTAGAGAAAACTTCAATTATAAGCTGGCTATAAAGTAAATCAGTAAGTTACTGCGCAATATCTTAGTCGTGAAAAGCCACCTTAGAAATATATTTAGTTCTACGAGGTTGAAATTGTCCATGGTGCTGAGGTTATCAGCAAACATATTTATGGGGTTCCGAATCGATTGTATGATAGGTTTGCGTGATAACATGCAAATTTTAGATGCAGAAGGGAACGTCTGGAAATTGCTGTAGGGATAATTTTGCTGAAGCGAGCGTTACTGAGATTAGGCTTCATTTGTGAGCCACTGTTATGTCAGCAATGATGGCATAGCGCATCAGTGAAAATGTTGGAACAACGAAAAGAACAATTAATAAAAAAACAGAATAGAAAGGGATAAGCAGCCTACAAAGATGACCGCTTAGTAGACATTTCCACTTAAGTGTTGTGATTTGATTGATTTTGTCATGGTCATGAATCTCCACTTTGAAAAAAATGAATGGACAGTGATTTTCTGAAAAATGCGGAGAGTTACGACTTTTTTCCACAATACATACTTACGAGCAAGCGAATTTTTCATAACTACAGAAAGATGGTTGATAGTATAAGTTGAAAGCTGTTGCAGGCTCACGAGTGCATGCTTTTCAGTGCATCGGGATGTACGTGTCCGACATGTAGCACACAAATTTGAAGAAATGAAGCAATAAGAGAGATCGGCACCACCATTTCTGAGGTTGAATGCAGGAAATAGACAGAGGAATGAGCCATGAGTAGTAGTGATAGCATGAGTGAAATTTAATCACCTTTTGGCAATGCAGCGGGACGGCGAGATAGCGAATTCGGCAGCGATCGTGCTCTCATGCAGAGATCATTCTGAAACATTGTAAATTTACTAGATAGCAAGTCACAATAGTTTTGTATGCATGTTTGTCTCCCAGCGATTGCATATACAGTGGGGCAAAAGTCTGGGAGCTTAGTACTTCTCTATATGAAATCAGAAGGAAAATACGTAGAAACAAAAAGTTTGTTGCACACATGAGTCAAACCTTTACAAGTACACAATAGCACAGCTCTCAAATCTTGAAATTGCATCTTTTGGCCTCAAAGCACCCCTTCGAAATTTGGCAAATCCGCCTATCGTGGCACCCCAGCAACGTGATGAAATTCGTCCCACGCCTTCACGATAACTGATTTTGTCACTGGGCAAATGTGCAGTAGATAGAGCAAGCTTTTGGCTACGACATACTACGAAAATAGTATTATTTTGCAATCAGGAAAAAGTTTTTGGAATTTCAAGTGGAAGCAAGTGCCCTCGCATACTGCAGATTTGGATGCGATTGCACGAACGGGAGCGAAAAATTATAATCTAAAAAGTGTTGAATTGGCTTCCTCTATCAAATTCAAATAGATGCTTATAGGACTCATGGAAAGAATATAGCCTAATACCCAGTAAATACTTGCTGCACTCCACAGCTCTAAAAATTTAGAGACAAACGGCTATTGGCATGCAGGTAATATTCGCAAGTATTTTGCGCTTTTTAAAGAATAACTGGCAAACGTAACTACTACGCTGTGATAGCGCAAGACCTCCTCTATAATGTGCGCATCAAAGTGTTTTGGAATATTCGCAGTATCCTTAACTACGAAATAAATTGTAAACACTCAATGTTTGGATTTTCTCCTATTCGGAAACACTTTTTTATGAATCCAATTCTTACAAAAACATATGCCAAACATTTTTGGCTAGGTAACGTGTGATTTGTAGCGAATGACCGCAGCATTATGTGGCAGAAGTTTGGAATGAAAATCATCAGTATTTTCGTGTTACAACACTCCAATGTCGGCTACCAAACTTTCGCCCCACCCTGTACCTGTATTAATTAGTCTGGTAATCAATCCCTATCTTCCCCATGACATTTGTGCTGTAACTTGTAAGTAGATTATTTCCCCTAAAGGTGTGAGAGAGGTGAGATGACCAACTTCGTAATCTCAAAGTTGTTGACAGCAATGGACTCAAGACCCAAACTAAAGGTGCTTAATTTTTTCCACGTAAAATGGATATGAAATGAGCATCGCCGTCTAAAGTATGGTGAAAAGCAGAAAACTTTTCTCAGGAAATACAAGTTTCCTGCCGTCCCTAGATGGAGACCGCAGTCAGCTAAAGGTTGCTTAGTCAGCTAAAGGTTGCTTAGTTATAGCTGTGTCATTACAGATATCAACTAGTTTTCGAAAGAACTCCCGTATGCTAAACTTTCTTAGCATTACAATACACACCAGTTCTATCACGGCAGTCTAACTCAGTCTCACACATATTAGGCTGCTGCATAAGTTCTGTCCGATTTGAATTTTTTGAGTTCAAAACGTCGTAACTTCCTACAAAGCCAACTTTTTTCCAAGATCTATGTGTTGTTAGTTTCTATGTGTTGCGCAGCTCCTTGGCTACGAAACACATATTGAGTCCTGCGCAAATCTTTGGTTAAGGAAGAAGCAAGAATGCAAAAACTTCAAGCGTTTTTCTTCAGACCTGTCTTTTTTGACATGGCAACGCTCCCTTATGAGGATTATTATGCAACATGAAAGAGCCCATAGAGTCTGCGCTGCCGAGAGATTTTTTTGACCGAGCAAAAAAGAAGCCACTTTTTGACCTCGCTTCAGCACATGTGTGCATGCCTACTTACGAATTATGAAAATTTTACAACTGACGTGAGCGCCGAAAAGGAACTGGTAGACTGGCCTTGCTAGCTCTTGCTTTGCCCTACCACATCCAAGTTTGAGCTTATCGATTACTTCTATTCGCAGAAAGCTTTTGCTTGTGAAACTCCTATTCAAAAAATTAATGTTCGACGATAAATTTTACTAGCAAGACGTTCTCTTCATGGGACCGAACTTCTGCATCTACTAGCCTTCTACACCCTTATTCCGTAGCCAATGAAAGAACTTGACTTGAAGGGCGCATTGTGGAGATTTCCTCGCAAGAACATATTTCTAAAGTGAGAACGTACCTCGGTCACTTAGAGATTTTAGGCCTGAAATCTCCGTACACTAAGAAATTTATTGAAATCTAAAGTGCGTTAGAAAGAGCAAGGAAAGCTCTTTCTAATGTTACTAACAATACTGCATCAGAGATGAAATCTTGGAACAGCTGCTTCAAACATAAGGCAAAAAAAAATCGGACAGAACTTATGCAGCAACTTAATACTTTTATAAGAAGTCTAATAAAAATTGTTTTTTGTCATTATTTTTGTCTTTGTTGTTTTTTCGATAGTCGGCCTTGTTGGAAAAAGATTAGCAACTATGCTTGGGGAGCGGATCTCGTCTGAATACCGAAATTTCATGTCCCTTTTAGCGTCACCTGCACATCAGTGTTCAGTAAGAGTGCGCTTCTTTCTGAACTTTGGACTTCCGACACCGTTCCGAAATACCAGGTGTTAGTAAAAAAGAAAGTTTGCGAAACAAGATGCTTTGTCGGAAATCTTGGGAAGCTTTGGCAGTTTTTTCAGAAACTTCAAAAATCTGTGTCAAGATGAGAGTCAGGGAAATTTCCACTGTACGTTCTTAGCTGGAAATCAGGGTCTTGGTAACATTAGCATGAGCATTAGCGGACTGAAGGACAGTTTACTTGCTCGATGCTGAAATCAGGCTATATACTTTATATGAAAATTACACGACTTCACATAAAGAATTCTCCACGCGATTCAATCTCGGAACAATCTTCCGTTGCCGCTGCGCTTGCAAGTGACGAATAGGGACCAGCTGCAAACTATACGACCCCGAGTTTGCTCTGATAAGCACTATGTAGATGTGCACGGAGGCAGTTCGCAAACCCCCATGAGAAAAGTCATGCGTTCTAAGAATGAAACTCGTCAAAGGGATCCGTCCTGAAAGATAGTAAGCTTTGATGAAGTCACAAACGACTTAAGGCCTAAGGCATACCTCGCGCGATTCCTGTCGCGGTGCGATTTGGCCCAACAGCGACTCTGTAATTCGTCGTTAATGCGTTTCCTTTGCTCAGAACTTAACCCAGTTGCAACAACTTAAACAAGCTACCCGCCTATGAGTTCGAGAAACGCGCACGATAAATTTATAGAAAGCTGGCAAATCGCCAAGTCGCGTGAAAGTGGCGATTTGGCCAAATCGCGTGAAGTATGCCTTAGGCCTAACGGGAAATGCCTTAGAACCATCAAAAAGTCCTACAATAACACGTAGAATCGCTCTTAGCAATGTCTGCCCATTTGGTTCCGCTGCATTCATTATAGACGAGTAATTTTCTTTCGGAATAACCGTTTGCTCAGCTTTTCTGCTGCCAGCATTATCCACTGTAACGCGACGTGAACGCAGAACAAGAATTAAGTTGCTTGTTTGACTTCATGCTCCTTATTTATATTTGTTCGTCGCATTGGGGGCATGAGACAGACTCCATTGAACCTCTATACCTGTGATGACTTCATATATGTCTAAACAAGCTCACTCCCTTTCCATTCCCAGAAAGATTTTGCGGACTGGACTTGAACTGATTCAGTGGGGAGTTTGCCTTTTTTTGTTTTATTTTTTGTTGCTGGTTGTTTGGTGTGATGCTTCGTTTTTCTGTTGTATGGGCACGCCTTGTGCGTATCAAATAAAATAAAATAAAATAAAATGCATTGGGATTTCGCGACCGCTGCTTCTTTCGCAAAAAATCTTTTTTTTTTTTGCGCATGAGGTGATAACTTTTGTGGGCTGTTGACCACAATGAGACCAGCAGGGCAGCAAGATGAGTGATAACAGCAAGAAAGCCACCATCCCTAGTTTGCTGTAGAATTGCAATGGGTTCAATAATCTGAACTGAAGGTTCTTTTAGGTTCGAGCTAAATTGGAGAAGAAGGTATGGGGCCAGGTGATATGCAATAATTCTCGCCGGGCATAATTTAACCGTAACAACCGCGAAATTCAGCAAACTATCGAAAAAAGATTGCTGAGAAAGTTAGAGAACAAGTAGAACTATGGCAATAATCACTTTGAATTCTGTTTTTTTTTCTTGGCATAGTTACTCGAAACTAGAACTTTGTGCTTTTTACTGGTACGTTCAATAAAACTAGACCTGAGCTTCGAGTGGTTTTTATTTTTTTTCCTTTCGTTCTCTCGCAATATTGAGAACTAACGTTTTTGCTGGCTATGTTTACTCTCCTATGCTCATACTCTCTAGCAACAAGTCACCCAAGAAAGCAACTCTGGAAGGTGTTGATTACTGCAGACATTCACTCTAAAAACCAAGAACACTCAAAAAAGACGTTTTCACACTGAGTGAGCGGAATGTGGAAGCCTCATTTACCATTCCATCAAGCTTCTGCGCACATTTTCAGGTTTCTCCTTAGGGGTTCAAACTTGTTATGATCATCACCCCACAAAATATTCTTTTCTTTCATTTCTTAATTTTTTTCAGAAAAGAAGTTGAATAATTTGATATGCTTTTAAAGGTTGTATGTCCGAAAATCGTTTTACCAGAAGAAGAATGCGCCGTACTTAACGAAACCATGTTGTTGGTCCATAATGCAGCAAGATGAATTGCAAAACAAATTGCGTCTTATTTGCTGGAGACGATGTCCACTACAGAAAAAAACTATCACATATCAAAATTGGGATAACTCGAACAAAGGCGAAACTGTTGGATCGGAAATTTCCAATCATACGCACCTATTCAGTGATTTGCTCTATAACCGAAAGAAGGAATTTTCGAAAAGACGTTGCGAGTGATCTAATATTAGGTTGTCCCAAAAGTTCGTTCGCACCGTTTTCAAAAAATCATAACTTCTGATTTTTCCAACCAATTTGACTGCATTTATTTTTGTATGAAAGAGTACGTCATGCTCTTTATAATGACGTCTTATATGCTTACTAATGATCATTTGTTGCATAGATAGGAGCGATGGAAGAAAATTGGTCAAAATTTGAATTTTCTGTGTAAGGTCATAAAAAATCTGAAACTTGCAGTAACAATCGGAGCAGTCGCAGTAATAGGTTCTATTACCTGCTCTTTTTAACAGTCCAAAGTTTGCGCCGATTGAGCGTCTCTATGAAAAGTTATGATTTCCCTGAAAAATGCCAAAATAAATCAAATTCTCCCTTTTGTACTGCTTGCTCAAAAATCATAACTCTTCATAGAGACGCTCAATCGGCGCAAACTTGCACTGTTAGAAAGAGCTGGTGAAAGAACCTACAATACCGACTGCTCCGATTTTTGTTGCAAGTCTCCGATTTTTTACGACCCCACACAGAAAATCCAAATTTTGACCAGTTTTCTTCTATCGCTCCTATCTAAGCTTCTAACATATCATTATAAAGAGCATGACTTACTCTTTCATAGAAAAATAAAAGCAGTCAAATTGGTTGAAAAAATCAAAAGTTATGAATTTTTGAAAATTGTGTGAACGAACTTTCGGGACCACCGGGACATAATACATTTCGCGACTTCAGCATCACACTACAAGATTTTTAGATTGCGAGACCGCAACCCAACTAACTAAAGCAATGATTTTTATAATCTACTGAGTGCGTTGTGGAACAATCCAAAATCATATCTAATCGCCAGCAAACTGTTGCTCGAAAAGCCTTGCTTAATTCTGAGCATTCCAATTCTAGTTCTAAGTGCTCGTGCCTTTCATCTCTCCCAGGGAATACTGTGGCGATCCTTTAATTTCATGTCTTACCGTCATCCGTCTCTTAAGCTTATACCATGGAAAAAAGGGATTCACATGCGCGCTCCAGCATGCCAAAATGATGCTTGAGGCCACCCACATCCAGGTAAAAGTGGGGAGATGGCGTCTTTCTTTACGTCAAAACTTTGGTTACTCGTTATGGTGAACAAAACAAGATAAGGTAGGCGGCAGAAAGGAAACGACGGAAGGTGGGTTCCTGCTTCAAGGGTGGATAGAGGACATAGAACGGGGGAGCAGAAAGACCCGTCGGTAAGACTTCTATAGGCGAAGCCTTGACTGAAGCTCTTGGTGTTTCTTGTTCTGTGATTAGATAACGTCTAGTAGTTGCTAGCGATGGGGACGAGTAAAGTTCCGCGAAGCTTACAGGTGGTACTAGCTAGGTAATCCTTCAGGTTGCTTCATATTTTCCGTTTACCAGAATTGCAATCACTCTGTTTCTTGATTTGGAAATGATTTTGTAGAATGGAACGAGTTTAAAAAAATTTCGGGATTCAGAGAGTGTCTCTTCTCGAAAAGTAGATAAGGAAGTTTGCGAAAGTAATAAAGGAACTTCGTTGCTTACTCAAAGAAGATTCTAATTCCCCCTGCTCCACACACCAGCCACCGCTACATACTGCTACGGAATAATATATAGCAACATCAAAAGACGTTGTCAGACCGGTTTGATGCGGAACACGTGCTCTTGGGAATGAGGAAACGCAAATAATGGCCAAGACATGACAAAATATAGATGAATCACCGGCTGAAGGACAAGCGCCCTGCGGACAACTCCAGCTTTCCTCTAATGAAGAGTAGATTCGTCAGTCTCATCGTCTGTCGTCTCTTGCAGTAACGAACTCTTTCAGAAGGAGCAAATGCGCTAGTCGTCGAGTACGATCGGCTTTTTTCTATGCCTATTATGTCACTGTTACCTAACAATGAGTGTCTCCGCTCTAGAAAATACTAGTCATAACTTTTACTCCCTATCAACTGAAACAATTTTTGAAATCTCTCAAAAACCAAAAATAGCCTAAATCTCCACCTGGTTATATGTCGGCCATTCTCCAACCGCCACTGGATGGATGTGACATCTCTGTGGCAGGATCAAAGAACTATCTGGTTAATTCAGGAAAACTTTCTCGGCAAAAAACATCAAACGTGTTAATTCTCAGAGATTGGCCATGTGACACATTTCGCTAAATATCTTGACAAAAATGTATGGTCCTCCAAATAACGAGTTGAAGCAAATGAAGAAGTGATTTGCCAAATAACACTTCATTTAAAATCTCAATCAGGTATCTTGTGAAAAAGTTCCCAGTTCACCTACTAAGCTTTATTAACAGAATTGATAGGTGCCGCGTTTCCTCACCTAACCGAGTATACCCATCCCCCCCCCCCCCCTCCTCTTCCGATATCCCTTCCACATGTCATTGCCAAGTGATACACCAAAAACGAATATTGGCATTCTATAGGCTTTGAATTGGTAGACGAATGAAACTAAGTTCATGGTGAAAACGTTCGCAAATGAACCGGGCGTTTCCATTCTAGCCCGAACGAGACTATTCTTTTGTAACGACCCCATTTGCTTAGTAATCGATCTTTGTCGCAGGTCTTATTGAGTAATAAAACATTTGTTGGAAGACCGCACTTGCAAAATCTCAAGAGGAGTGCTTCGGACTCTCCAGTCTGTCGGTTTCTTTTGCATTTAAAAGTAGCTAGAGAATTCTGCTGAAGGGAATTTGGTCTAAAACCAACCTTGACGAACGGATTATCACGGACAAGACCGATTGGATGATCCATGACTCGGCTGGAGGAGGACAATTCAGCTAGCGCCCCCTGGTAGATGTACGAAGTAGCGATAGAGTAGTTGAAGACTTAAAACTGGCGACGGTGTAGACGCTGGCTTGAGCACGACGCCTTCGGTCGTTCCTCCTCCACCTGAGAGAGGTCGTTCGGATCTGAAATAAGATAAAAGAGTTATTTGAGCTGAAGTTTTATGAAGCAGCAAACGAGATGATATTGCACATGTATACAAAATGTACAAAATTCATAGCCTTCACCTCGCTGAAGCGAATATGCAAAAATGATTGCTGGGTTGCAAAATATTAGCTCTTAACGGAAGCTCTGTCGTCTCACTCTTGAAAATTTGTAGTTTGTTATTTCGACGAGTTGCTGCTCTATAATTTTATTAGGAAAAAGGGAATCCTTCTTTGTAAGCATATTTTAATAAGTTTACACATCAATGGAAAAAGAAAACCATTCGGGCCTCAATCATTTTGAGTTAGGTCGCTAAAGGAACAATGCGCGAAAATTTGAAAAAGTCAGTACATAAGTTTTATGACCTACTCTGTAGACAAGGAAAATTTGTGCTGTTTAGACGTCTCTTTGGGAACTTTGATCAGAAAAGTGACAAATCAGTACCGTCCACCCAGATTCTCGATTTCCATGTTTTTGTCGTTTCGGGGTCTCATGGCCCTAATTGCGACTATAACGTCGAGAAATCGTGAAAACCCCGACAAACCACGTTCTGAAGAACCCGCCAGCGGGTTATCCGAAACGGGGATTGGATGAACGAATGGGCGGGCATAACTGCAGGGGGTTGCCGTCAAAGGCTCCTCTGCTCTCTTCGATATTCCGGAGCAAGCTTTCGCTTTCGAAACGACATTTTGCATCGTGACTTGGGTATTGGCTTGGTAGGGGGCCCTACTATTGTATGCTGTAGCTCAAGACCGCTAAATTATTGTGGGCAGTGCTTCAATCATTCTGGCGGTTTTTGTTGAAAACTTGAAATGCTAACTTTCCACAGGAGCGTCCAAACAGCACAAGTTTTTTGGTCGCAAAGAGTAGGTTATAAAACTTATGTGCTGACTATTTCAGATTTTCTGCGACGTTCCAGATTTTTGATGACCCATAATCAAAATGACCAGAGCCCAAATGGTCTTCTTATTTTTTTTTATCTCTGCGAAGAGTGTATAGTAGAGGAGATCAATATTTCTTTGAAAAAACAAAAAGAAAATCAAATCCGTCGAGATAGCGAAAAGTTACAAATTTTCAGTGGATCGACAAATTTTCCGGGAATATCTTGATGGGAGTGGATTTAATTGAGCTACAAATTACAAATACAATCAGGATAACGGAATAGGACCATCTAACAATACTTGTGAGATGGGGGATATAAGAATTTCGGGATTTTTAGTTTGCGGAATTTGGCTCTAATTGTGCGACTATGTAGGTAAAGTCTGCTTAACGGTCCTGGCGAAAAGAAAGACGTAAGATGTATACAACAGCTGAAGCTTTGCAAAGAAGGAGTGTACTACAAAGTTCCAATCCCTACGTCAAGTGAAATTCTTTGCATGTAACACAATGACATCACTGTGGAACGGTGGGTGAAGCATGAGCATTGGATTGTTTGCTACATTTGGGTGAGCGATTTTTCATAGAATGAGTAATGGCGACACGCAGATAGCGAACAAGGCACGAACAACTCCGGCAACGTTTGAAATTCCGCTAGTAGCAGGATGCAAGCACTTGTGGCACCGTCTCAAGCAAGCGTAAGGGCACTGAAACACGAGATTAGTACGAAAATATTTGGATGTGTCATGCATAGGGCTCGGCACGAGGTGGCTTTCGGAAAATGCAAAAAACGAAGTCCCCCTTGACTTTTGTGATTTTGTACAAGTTTCTTTGACCATAAACCTAATAAAATAAATTCTCAACAAACGAAAGGTCGACTAAAGAACGTCACAATTTTTGCGTCCTCTCGGCCTCGAAAACGATACTCCTTTGCTTTCCGCCTCAAAAACGATATCCAGCTTGCTTGGGAGCCATCTGTGCTGAGCTCTGACCATGCAACTCTAAGCCAATTACTGATCAACTAAATTCCAAGAATATCATCTCGTCCCAGTCAAATCATGGAATGGCCACTATGTATCATGCTAGATCAGTCAGGTAGATATTGCTAAAACTCCAGACACGATTGTCACGTGACCTAGCGTGTTCATTTTGAAGGCGATGCTTATAATTAGTGGCGTGAGTATTTAAACTAAATTCAACACTTCATGATCTACCTCTCTAGCTTCTGTCATGTCGCATTTGAGATGCTAGACAGGGCAGCGCTAATAAGAACAAAAATGAAAAGCTCGTGCAGTGAATGCCGGTACCATGCTTTTTAGAATTTGTTTACCTTTTGCGAGAAATATGAACTGTTGCAGCACAGAATGCTTCAAAGCTTACAGGTTATGTTCATACAGAATCTTTGAGCAATCATCCATGAATCCGCCACCAGTAAGACTTCCACAGCTGTATAGTCGAAGCACTCAGGAAAATGTGAGAGTTGTTACAAATGAAACCAAATGATGAAATTAATGGTCTATTGGACGCAAATTTCAAATAGTATATCCTCGGCATGACCAAAATTGATATATTTCGCAAATTCCGTCAAAAATAATACTTACCAAAATTACTTGTAAACTATTTGTAAGGGTTAGTCACCAGCAGAAAATATGAAGAAAAGCGGAGTTTTAACCATTTTGCGTAAACATAGATGTTTCCATTGATGACTAACAAGGGTATGCAGAAGATGGCAAGGACAGACATTTACGGAGCAGCTTTTATGATCATGATATAGTGGATTTCCGCACTGTTATGCAAAGCCACATGTTATGCAAGTATACTCGACTAGAGTTCTTTTCAAATTTCTTAGTTCACATTTGCAGCATATGCACTTGTGGACCAGAACAATTCCGCAAAAACTGTCTGGAGCGGACTTCCGCGTACATGCTGAAAAAAGTGGACGGTTACAGTCTTGTTCATCACTATGGAAAAAACATCGACTGGATTTGGGTCTCTTGCAGACCTGATCACAATGCCTTGTTTAAAAAAAGTAGAAAAGAAAATTTGAGCTCCAACACATCCAAAATGAAATGCGCACTGAAATTTGTACCCTGCATAAGGACCTGGACGCAGCCTAAATGAACTTTACATGAGCCTGCATTACATGTGATTGTGCCTCACATGTTACTGCCAAATCTCTTTTTTGTGTGGGAACGGTAAAATTTCCTAGTAGGCTTTTCCCCAAAAACTATCCCAAAAACTAACCAGAAAAAATTAACCGCGCCTTTATTGAAGTAGATAGAGCTATCACTCCACTGCATTACTTCGAGTTAACGCCAAGTACACCGTGACATGAGTTCTCTGAGTCAACCTTGAAATCTGATAGTAAATTCTTGATAATTAAAGAACAGCAAAGGAATCAGCGGGTCTAAACCTTAACACAAAATTTCCAGACTCAAAGAAGTTCCATGGCAGCTGATTTACTGTAACGATGCTATCGTTTCCTATTGTGAATGTACAGAACTGCAGCACACTGTAGTTCTAAGTTGACTATTCATTATAGTGCTTTGGATTTAGATCATGAGGCAAGAAAATACCTACATTCAAATTGTGGGCACACTTAAATTTACATAAACTGCATGATAATCAAGCTTAAAACTAGCAAAAGAAAAGTTGGAAGTGGCAAAATCAGTCCTGATCGTGGTCCGCCCTTATACCCGAAGCCCATATATGTGAATACAAGATTACATCGCTGATTTTCACGCTTTTACATGTTTTGATTTTTAAGGGAAATTGAGTTTAGCAGCGAAATTGTTTAACATAAAAGCTAGTGCGACAACTATATTCTAAGTCGCGCATCTTTCAAGAATAAAGCACACTTTTTTTGCAAAACATCGTAGCTCTATGCTATCGCAAGGAGTTCAATCACGATTACATCAGAATGCGAATTAATTACTCCAGTTTTTCCGGGGACCACAACCCTCCGACTTACTCGAGAATAGAGGAAAATGCCTTATTGTGCAATTTGAAAGCAGCAAGTCTGTCAGTCGCTGAATGACATTTGCAAAAACCCAGAGCTCTCGATCGAATCAAGGGTGAATAAACAATTTGATACTCACGGGCCGATAGCGCAAAATCTAACGGGTATGCCGTAAAACATATATACCGGCATACCATTGCCCCAGAGTATGGGTCGCGAAATTTTTGAAGTTACATGATATATAAAAATGTGAAAGTGGCTTGTACTTGTAAGTAATTGAAATAATTTTTGAAAATTCCTGAAAATCCAAATGCCTAGCTGCTACCCCCTCGTCCCCTTTTCTGGATTTAAAGGTCATGGGTCCGCAAAAACCTTGGGGAATATCCCAAAAAAGCTTGTGCATGGCCAATGCCCATTCGAAAAAAGTTTGTCTCCCCCCCCCCCACGAAAGAAATTCCTAGGACCTCCACTGACACATACTAAGCTGACGCTTCGAGTTCAACTGAGGCAGTGCAGTTCTCCCTCTCAAGCCTTGCGGCGATGCAGTCCGGTATCAATCCAGCCTTCAACGTTGGCACTGGCCTGTTTATGAGAAAGTCAACATTTGCATTATTCAACTAGCACAAACGGCGCTACGCCATTTGCATGTTTGGCCGAGTGGTGAAACGTTAATGTTACGTCAAATGAACGAATGGAAGCCGGTCTGCCACACCTTTTCGGCGATAGGTCGCAAGGCTCAGAAATGAAAAATACAACACTTGAGGAAATGTCTCGTACCTTTCCAGCCATTGGGTGCTCATCAAGTTTTCAATTTGTACTCGTAATCTCGGGGCTGTGCGGTTCTTTCATATTTCTCATTTTTCAATTCTCTCAAATTTTTCGGCAGTCGAGACGTTGCAGTGGTTTATGAATCGTAAACTTCTCTGTGCTTCTTCAAAACGATGAGTTAAACATGTAATTGTCACTCCTGCCACTTGAGTATGCATTCCTATTTGAGAAACTAATCGTCTGTCAAATTGAGTTGTATGGACGGAGTTTAGTACTGCTTGTCTTGGAACTGCCCACTTAGGTATCGTCGATTCGTTGACCGCACGGACTGCTCTAACGCGGCGGACCACGCGCGGAGCGGCTGAAATGTTGCGAGAG